CAGATAGGCAGTGAGTACTTCATAAATATTTATTGAGCAAATGGTCTCCATGGTACAAGACATAATCAACTTCATAAACAACATCCAAAAGGTCAGTCTCTGTACCTGGAGATCACACGTTGTATAGGAGTCTAGGGACACTGACCAACTCCTGGACAAAAGGGCACATGGCTCAAACTGGAAACCCAGTTGGCCACCAAGGACTTCCTGTGTTCTTGCACTGATCTTCCCTCGCCATGGTCCCAAGTCAGATGGCAGAGTGAGCTCAGGGGCCTCTCCTGTGGGTTTATAAATAAGTCTGGGTTCATTACTGATCCCAGAATGACCTACATGGCACCTTTCCCTCGGCCTGCTCAGTGAGTGGGACTGCTCCCAGTAAGGTAAGCAAATAACTGTCATGCAGAAAGCAACCCAGAACAACAACCTGGTTTTCATTTAAGATCCTCTCTCAAACCTTGAGCCCAGGTTCTACTGACGCAGCTCTCCTCAATCATGCCCCAAAGCTACGTTTCAGTTTATTCATTGAATCCCTCAGTGTATGATTGAGATGCTTCATTATAGTGCAGACTTCTTGCCTTCCAAATGAGGAGAGTGGTCTGGCTTGAGATGAGGCAGAATAACTGAATGGTTAAGAACAGGATTCTAGTGGCAGATGGTTTTGAGTTGCGGGTCTTGGTTCCCTCACTCCCTGACTGTGTCACCACAGTCAGGGTTTCCTGGGTGAACTTGAGCATTTTACTTGACTATTCCTCTGAGCCTGCACCTCCTCCTTTGCAAAATGGAAATACCTCATAGATTTATCAGTACAGATTAAGTTACATAATGTATGCAAAACACTTATCACAGTGCACTCCCATGAGGTATCACCATTTAAAAATAACAAGGATGCTGGAAGGCATTTTCTGACCCCTCTTCTCCAATTCAGAATCTTCTCTTCAAGGGACCACTGGGAAGGGTGCAAGGCTACCTGAGTGGACACCAAGAAATTAATTATGAAACGAACAGTATGTAGATCCCTGAACTCAAGCGTGGCTAGATAATGCATATCTATTAGTAGGAAGTTAAGAAACGCCACCCAGTTCAGCGGCAGCATTGATGATAACAGTGCATGTGGACATGAAGCTTTAGGCAACTTCACAGAAAGCCACCCAGTGAAAAACATGTTACCTAACCCAGGCTGCACTTAATACAGCTATGCCTTGACTTGTTGCCATTAATGAAAACAACCCCTTTTCAATTCGACTGCAGGTAGTCACCAGGTCTCTTACCTCACAGAGCTACTTCTGTCCTCTTGCTATTTATAACAATGGCTTTGATTTATATAACTTTTTCCTGTTGTACATTTTCATGTAAGTTTCAGTCCAGTTCGTGTCATATTCACAGTATTTCAATGTGATGAGTAAAGCAAGTAGTATTAATGACATTTTTGTTTTTTTTCTTGGTTCTACTTTGTTCTAACGCAGGAGGAGTATGAGATCCAGAGAGGTTGAGCCGCTTGCCCAGAGGTCACATAGCTGTTCAGTAGCCAGACAGTAGGAACACTTAGTCCAGTGAGCTGCCATCCACATCAGTGCTTCTCAGACTGTAGCATGCCTGTGAATCACCGGGGATCTGATTACAATGCAGTTTCTGAATTCAGTGTGTCTGGGAAGTAACAGGATTCTGTACGTTAACAAGCTCCCAGGAATTGCTGTTACTGCTACAGTATTCTTCTTCGTACCCTCATAACATCCAGGAATGTCCCTCCTAGTACTTCCTCAAATGCAGTTGCATCATTCGGGTATTCGTTCATTCCCCCCAACTAGACTGCGAACTCCATGAGAACAGGAACTGGGTTTTGTGCACTGCTTTGCCCTGGCTGCCCAGCACCATGAATGGCAAAAAGGAATTGAACGAGTATTTTTTTGAAGAATGAAGGAAAAGTGACCTATTTTGAATCATAAAGCCACAATGCATGAATATTCAGACTCTCACTGTGTATTAAAAAAGGATATTTATTAAGTATCCTTTGTCATCTCAAGTCATATTATGATATCTAGTTGTCATTGCCAGGTCCCAACATAACATAATTAAAATAAACTTTGCAGGGTCATCCAGTTTAGACCTACACCGTTTACAGAACTGTGCCAGGGTCCAGTGCAATGGAATCACATTTTGGGGCAATGAGATGGGTTACTGTGAAGTCATTCTAAGGGGAAGGGGGTGATGTAGAACAAGCAGTGTGATCGGGGCTCAATGACACTCAGTATGAAGTGAGCCTCCACCTGAGGATGCTGATGACACCGATGCGCCACAGACTGTGGATTTCCCAAATGCCGAGAACTGCGCTAAGTGCTTTACACAAGTCATCTCATCTTATCCTCTCTCCACACCTATGACACAGCCACTTATTTTATAGGTGAGGAGGCAGAGGCTTATTAAACTGTAAGACGTGAAGCCAAGATTTGGACCCAGGCACTGTGGCTTCAGACTGATGCTTCTAACCATGCTGTCCGCTGCCAGGAAGCACATGGGAGTGGCTTACTCCCTGGTCAGTAGCCTGATATAGGTTCCAACCAATCCCACATAGAGGGGACTGGGGAGAAACTGATTGCATCAGTAGGAGATGGCCCATATATTCAAAAGGAAAGACCCAACAATAGAGTGTAGGAAAAAACAGGGTTTTCTGTTACAGCAAATGCTCGAGTAGTTTGACTCTGGCTTATGGTTAAATATCCAACACCACTGAAAGGTCGAATAAGAGTCAGTTAAATAATAAGGCTCAAAGTTCCCAGATTCCTTTCACACTTCATTTGGTCTCTTATGAAACCTTGCTCTAATGATTGGGTAAAATCTGAGAAGATGGTCATCACAGGAAAGAAATCAGGGTTTTGTGAAGCATGTGTATCCAATGTAGAAAGTCTAAAGGACAGAGAGATTGTTTTCCAAAAGCTGAAAACGCAGAATTTCAGCAGTTATATTTTAACTCTGTCAGAAAAGAAGGAATCAGGAAAACATGAAAAGAGAATGTGTTGTCAAATTGGATATGAGAAAAGGGTCAACAATCTTTCTTATTATAAAATATTTTAAAATGTGGAGTAAGAAAATAAATAGGAGCAATACAGTAGTCCCCCCTTATCCATGGTTTTATTTTCTGTTGTTTCCATTACAAGGGGAGTACCTACCATAGTCCAAACATATTAAATGGGAAATTCCAGAAGTAAAGAATCCGAAATTTTACATTGCAGGCTGTTCTGGACAGTGTGATGAACTCTCGCATGGTTCTGCATGGGACGTGAATCACCCCTTTGTCCAGCATGTCCACACTGTATACGCTCCCCGCCCATTAGTTGTTAGTAGCCACCACAGGTATCAGATAGACTGTGGAAGTACCACAGTGCTAGTGTTCAAGTGACCCTTATTTTACTTAATAATGGACCCTAAATGCAAGGGTAGTGATGCTGGCAATGCGAATATGCCAAAGAGAAGCCATCACTTAAAATGCTTCCTTTATGCCCTGGCAGGTTTGGCTCAGTGGTTGGAGCATTGGCCTGCGAACCAGAGAGTCCTGGTTTGATTCCCACTAGAGGCACATACAAAAAAAACAACAACATATGCTTCCTTTAAGTGAAAAGGTGAGTACAATACAATCAGCTATTTTGAGAGAGAGAGAGAGAGAGAGAGAGAGAGAGATCACATGTGCATAACTGTGATTACAGAATATTGTTATAAGCATTCTATTTTATTATTTGTTATTGTGTTCATCTCTTACTGTGCCCAATTTATAAATTAAACTTTATCATAGGTATATATGTGTTAAAAAAAAAACAAAAAACATAATATATATAAGGTTTGGTACTTTCCGAAGTTTCAGACATCCACTGAGGGTCTTAGAACGTATCCCCCATAGATAAGGAGAACTAATGTACTAGTTTACAGCCATAGGGTCTTGAACAAAACATTATTGTGAAAAAAAATTGAGCTCTACAGATTGGTTTTTCTCACACTTGTCTTATTATTATTTATCTTTGGGAGCAACATGATATCAAGGATTTTGAAGGCCCAAGACCTGGTTCTGTGACTTTCAAGTTACAATCTCAAGCTTGCATAATTCTTCCAAGGTTCAGTTTCTTCATCTATAAAATGGGGATAAGAAACATCTACCTCCTAGGATTACTGTGAGCCTTACATTAACTGACATATTGTTACTTACACACAGATGAAATGTGTTTATAAGAAAACAAGTATAAATTACAAGAAAAGATTGGCAGAGCCCTGGCCAGTTTGGCTCAGCGGTTAGAGCATCAGCCTGCGGTCCAGAGAGACCCGGGTTTGGTTCCCACTAAGGGCATATACCTCGGTTGCAGTTTGTCCCAGGCCCTGGTTGGTCGTGCGGGTGGCAGCCACTCGATGTGTCCCTTTCACATGGATGTTTCTCTCTCTCTCTCTCCCTCCCACTCTACCTGAACAAAAAAATGGAAAAAAATGTCCTCGGGTGAGGATAAAAAAACAAAAAAGAAAAAATTGGCAGATGTTAAACTTTGTGTGTTAAAAATAGGACCCTGTGAAATTTCACATAGGTATGCAGCCTTAAAAATCAACTTCTGCCCTGGCCGGTTTGGCTCAGTGGTTGGAGCATCAGCCTGTGGACCAGAGAGTCCCGGGTTCAGTTACCACTAGGGGCACATACCAAAAAAAAAAAAAAAAAATCAACTTCTAACCAATGTCACCCTAATAAATTTCATTTAAAAAATCAACTTCATTCATGATTATACCTACAAATTTTAGTCAATTTACCAAATCACAGTCATATTAAAAATCAGAAAGTTTTCTGACTCAGTAATGTAGATTTTGGGGGGAAATTCCACTTCAATGTATTGGAATGTTTTATAAACCATAAAGTACTAAACAATATACAATTTTTTAAAATTATAATGTCCTGTTGGTTTCTAGAAGAACTGGAGATGTCAGCAAATTAAAACGATGCAACACATTAAATAACACATTTTTATTGACAGGAATTCAATATAAATTTACTTGTAAAGTAAGGGAAGTCAGCTTTCTAAGAAGTTACAACAACATATATAATAGACATTAAGTCAACAAAGATAACAAACAAAATTTTTAGAAGTCTTCCCACAATTTCATCTTCCAGGCTTGTGGGAGTAGTAGTAGAAATTAATATCCAGTTTTTAGATGTCATATCCAGAATGATGCTGCTCCCTAGGAGAAAAAGAGAGAAGTATCCTCAAATGAACACAAGGAGAATTCTGATTTTTCTTAAAACTTAGTCTAATATTTGCACTGTAAAGAAATAATGATGAGGAAATATCTTTTGGACAAGATTCGACATATTTGTAACCAACCAATGAACTAAATTGTTTTATTCCTTAGTGAATTAAAATATTGTTCATCCATTCATTTTGGCTACTGGCTGTCATAATCATAGATTTTTCTTAATGCCAAACTTGCCTTTCTTCTTCAATGAAACAGCTCAACCACTTGGTAAGGCACATAAATGTCTAATCACTGCTGCCTACCTGAAACTAATATGATATTGCATGTCAACTATAATTGAAAAATAAGAATTTTTAAAAGAAAAGAAACAGCTCAAGGGACTATCAGAAAAGCTATTCTGTTTTTATGTTATCATTATTTATGAAGTTTTATCTGCTTAGTCATTTACATTATTTTACAATAGCATCAGTGAAATTGTCATTCTTCCAACCCATAAGACAGTAGGTATTACCAGGAAATGAAAATTTGAAAACATGGAAAAAGGCAGGTAAAAAAAAAAAAAAAGTGTTTTTAATTTTTCAACAATTAAACAACAAACACATCTTTTTTCATTTTCTTGATTTTTCTTCAAGATCCTTCCCTCCCACATTGCAGTGTTAAACAGTTTAAAAATAGCTGGAACTTTTTCAAGTACAATAGCATTTGTAACAATGTTAATTTATGGTCAGTTTAGCATACTGTTGGAGCATTTTAGCAAATGTCAGGCAGGTGGGGAGTTTAGAACCATTCTAACTCCTTTTTCAGGAATGCAAGCTCAAATACATAATTTTCAGATGCTTACATCAAAGTTGCTTATATACACTCAACTTGAAATGCACATCAGACTTTAAAAACTGGCAAGATTGGGGTAGTGTTATTTTCACTCAAAAACCAAAATGCAGGTTGAGTTTTAAGAGAAGAGAAAGGGTGGGGGGGAGCTAGATGAGAATTTTCTCCCATTTTTAGCAATCTTGACTAATTTCTGTAATATCTTGCCCCGTTCCTAAAGGAAGGAATAATGTGCCCCAAATTACACAGACATCACTAGCAAAGTAAACACCTAGAATGTCCCCCTACATTCAACAATCCCTTTTGCCTAGGTTATAGAAACAAGGAGTAAGGATAACACATGGGTTTGCAAAATGACTTTCTCTCCTATAAACTCGGCCTCCAGATTGTGTTTCCTTTGTTTGTGTCCTGAGGGGTAGCTTCAATTGTCTTCGACAACAGTAAGAGAGAGACTCAAATAAGAAGTGAGAGACAGACGAGACAACGGGTAAGGATCGAAAAGTAGAAATCCATTTCTCACCTGACTCAATCCCAGGTTGTGGCAGATAACACTGCTCTTTGGTTTGCTCTCTGTCTTCTTGCTGGAACAAAGTGCGTTCAGCACAGGTGGTCTCTTAGCAACCTTGGTTCCTGGGTCAAAGCACATTAAAAGGTTTTATTGGGTAGTGAGGTTGTGTATAAAGTCGAGGGGCAGGGAGCCTGCATGGAGAAATTCTGAAATTACTCTCAGAGAAGTCAGGAAGGAGATGTCGAAGAGTAGACTTTGGGGGGGAAAATGACACTTTAATTTCATTTTATCACAAAATTGTATAGCTAAAAACTGCACCTTTAGCAGAAGAGTTAAATTAGATTTTAGGATTTTGCTGTCAGGACAAACATTCAGGACATTTTTTAAAACAACAATTCTTGTGGGGAGTGGTGAATGGGAGAAATGTTAAGTGTACATACTTGTAACTAGTAGATTAATAAATCCTGGAGACCTAATACATAGTACAGTGATTATGGATCCCACTCCTCCCCCACCCAAAAAACTGTTATAAACATTAAACTTACTAAGAGACTAGGTTTTAGCTGATCTCAACTCTGGAAGAAATGATAATTACGTGAGCCCAGAGAGGTGTGGGGTAACGCTTGCATGGCAATCATATTACATATACATATATCAAATCAATATGTTGTATACCTTAAACTTATACAATACTGCATGTTAAATATAATTGCATAAAAAATTCCCTAAAATTATTTAAAATATATTTACTTCAATATCTACCATGACAACAAACGAACAAACTTGTCTGTCTACGTAGAAGAACATACCTCATGAAATTGTATGTGTGCTATAAATTCTATAAGTTTTAAGATTTTTTTATCACTTTTCTGAACAAATTAGAAAATGGAAGAGTAAAATTATTATAAAAGACAAGCTATAAAATTCAGTTACAAATAGAAGATGTTTTTGTTCAATAAAATGATGATTATTATAACTAAAAAATAATAGAAACACTACTTGGAAAACTGTTAAAATATTTAAAGATGATCAAAACCAATACCTATGACCACCCATACAGTCGTAGGTATATATCACGAAGAAATGCATGGGTATCCACACCAGAACACATATCCAAAAATTATTTGTAATATCTTCAACCCAAGTGCTCATTTGTAGACAGATGATAGATAGATGATAGATTCACATAATGTTTTTTTTTTTTTTTTACAATAAGCTACAGCTATATACAAAAACAGAACTGATCTTACAACCATCATATACATTTTTTTTTAAAAAGCAAGGCATAAAAGAAATTCACAGTGCAAGTGTATTCATGTTAAGTAGAAAAACAGAGTTAAAAGCATGTGGTTTAAGAAACAAAGTAATAGATACATTGAACAAACTGATGGCTACCAGAGGGGAGGGGAGAGGGGAGATGGGCAGAAAAGGGGAAGAGAATTGAAAAGTACAAGCTTCCAGTGATAAGTCATGAGGATGTAATACATAAGGAATATAGTCATTAATATTGTGATAACTATGTATGGTGACAAATGATAACTAGATATACTGTGATGATTACTTCGTAAGGTACATAAAGGTTGAATCACACCTGAAAAGAATATAACATTGTATGTGAACTATAATGAAAACTTTCTTTTAATTTAAAAAGCGCACAGTTTAGTGGTGCATACACAGGTGGCTACAGTGTAGTAGTAAATTTATCAAGAAAACAAGGCATTGGCTACCATAAATTCAGGAGAGTGGTGTCTTTAGTAGGGGTAAGTGAAGGGATAGGCAAAGATGGGGAGCTGCCAGCAATGTTTCAGTTCTTGCCCTGGGTGTGGTTACATTGGATATTACCTTCTTGTCAAACTGTCAATAGAAGTTTTATGTGCTTTTCTGTATGTATGTTAGACTTCACAATAGAAATAATTGAAAATACTTATAAATGTGAATGGTGCTCATAACTGTCAAGTTTGGGCGGGATGGCTATGTGTGATTTTTATTTTATTTTATTTTTTGCTTTGTCTATTTCTTATATTTTCATTGAAAAAAAAAGGGGCTGCTTATATAACTTCAGAAAACTATAGAAGCCCTGGCCAGTTTGGCTCAGCAGTTGAGCGTCGACTTCAACTGGACCAGAGAGTCCCAGGTTCGGTTCCTGCTAGGGGAACGTACCACAAAAATAAATAAATACATAAATAAATAAATAAATAAATAAATAAATAAATAAATAAATAAATAAATAAAAACTAAAGAAAGTAGTCCCATAACTGCTAGTCTTCTTCCTTCCCCATATATTTAAAAGTAATGTATACTGATTTTATTTTTGTCAAACCGATCATTTAACACATAATTATAGCCTGGTCTTCTGTAATAAATTCACTCTTTCTCTAAAGAACATGTTCTTGTCTCATTCATTCACAATGCTCATGAGAAACAGGAATGTGCACGACTTCTGTTTGGTTCTTCTCTTTGATGTCAGATCTGTTTGTAGATCTAAATCATTGGAAGAACACACATTTGTATCATCACAAGTTTACAAACACACTAGATTCTACTGCGGGTTAAAATTATGAGTATTACAGTACTTTGATTTATATCAGCTAGAAGTTCAATAATCAACTGTTTTTTTGGGTGGGGTTGCAGGGACATTCTTTTTGGGGGGAAAATTATTTAACAGCAACATTTTTTAGGGGGAAAAATGTGTTATTGGATAAAACATGCACCAAAAAATGTAAATAAATTTCAAACAAGTTAGCGCACTTCTGAAAGTATGCTAGAACATGAATAGTGTGATTATCTCAAGACTATTGTCTTATCTTGAATCACAGTATTTTAAAAACATAGCTAAAATAACATCACCTCCAATTTCTGATATAAAATCATAGGTTGCTTTGGGCCAGATATATTTCATGTTGAAATTTCAGATGATTGCAAATAATTTTTTCTTCCATTTGTGGGCCTCTGCCCCCACCCCCCACCCCCCATTTCCAGAAGACACCGTGAATCAATTTATTATTTTATAGAATGTTTCACTGGAAATAGAATAAATACTCTCTTATCTAGTTTTTAAAACATCTTTATTTTTTCTTTTGATTCCATCAAGGTTCCAAAAAATCCAATTCAAATTGACCTGGTCATTGTTTATCGAAAGGCTGAATAGTGGGCCCTAGCCAGTTTGGCTCAGCGGTTAAAGCGTCGACCTGCGGTCCGGAGAGACCCGGGTTCAGTTCCCGCTAAGGGCACGTACTTCGGTTGCAGTTTGTCCCCAGCCCTGGTTGGTCGTGCGGGTGGCAGCCACTTGATGTGTCCCTTCACATCGATGTTTCTCTCTCTCTCTCCCTTTCTCCCTCTCCCTCCCACTCTATCTGAACAAAAAATGGAAAAATGTCCTCGGGTGAGGATAAAAAAAAAAAAAAAGAAAGAAAGGCTGAATAGTGGTATTCCTCAAAGTGGTATACTCTCAAAGACAAATGGAGAGTAGCAGTAATCTTTGGTCTCTGGGAGCTGAACTTCATTGTATTCTCTGTTCTTCACCCTGATCAGTTGTTGGCTCTTGACTAAAACCTTTACAATCATGTTTTTATATAAAACAGGGTTTCTCAAATCAACTCCGACTCCTAAGACCATAAGAAGAGTGCATTGGCCAAATGGCTTGGTCCCCTGGCCAAAAAAAAAAAAAAGAAAGAACAAAACAAACAAACTCTATTATATAAAATTATTCCTGTTAATTATTCCTACTAAGACATCACCCCTTTCTCAATTTCTCTCAACGTCTACTATCCCTGCCCCCCTCATTAGGATTCTTGGTCCACACAAAGAACAGAACATACTTTGCAAAGTCTCTTTTTCAATCAAAAGAAAAACACTTTTCCTTGGATTCAACATTATAGTCTTAAACACAAATCACATTTCAAAAATATTTTCTTTTTTAACAAGAATGTGCTAATCCTACTTCTTGTTTCCATCAATATCTAATGGTCAAGATAACATTGACAGAAGTTCCCTAGAGACACATGTTAAAAAATGAGACATCATTGAAATCTGTCCATTTTTGCTTAATAGGTGACTTAAATAAGTATAGCAATGACCCTTTGCTGAGGGTCTAGGGTGTGCCAGGCCATGATGCAGCTCACTACACTGTACTATGGCTGTTTGCAGGTACCACCCCATAGGTGGCTGTCTTCCTAGAAAGTGGAGATGACCTTCCCCATCCTGGATCCCAATGTCTCAGAATAACCACGCGGAAAGTAGAAGCTCTCTTGGAAGACAGAAAGTTCATTGTGTTCAAATGACAACAACGACAAGAAAATTCCATACAAGGGTTGGCAAAAGTAGGTTTACAGTTGTGAGTATGAAAAACAGAGTTGATTCTTGTATTATTATTTACTTATTAATCATTGTATTATTTGTCTTAGTATTATTATTGTTATTACTTCATATCCTTATGTGTGATTTCTCTTTTGGGTAATGATGGCTGGTAATTTAAATTACTTTTGCCACCCCCGTATATTCAGTCTACGTTTCCCAGCACATATTTTAAAAATAAAATCCCAAAGTTGGGTGCTTTCCATTTGTTTCCATATGGAAAAGGTCTCTTTCCCATAAAAGTAATATTCAATAACATTATCTTTCAGAAACTTGAGAAATCATATGGTAATTGTGTCTTGTTGATGTTTTACTTTTGTGGGGTTTTTTTGTTTTGTTTTTGCTAGTAATTAGGAAACCAAGTCAAGTTGTTGGAAGGCAACAGAACTTTGGCACCAGCCCTGTGGGGCTTGGGATGGGAGTGTGCTGTTGGGGTGGCTACCGTTTCTACGGCCAAATGGAGATTTATCCCCTTCAGACTCCAGACATGGGTGCTGGGGTGGCAGGGCAGGAGACATGAACTCCTGAAATTTGAGTCACTCTGAAGTTAAATGAAAAGTCGGGCATATTTAATAGTAAATGGATTTTGTATGTTCTCTAAGTTACGGAAGTTTGAGTTCAGGTTGCATTTTCTGAACTAGTGAAGGCTTCATTTGATTCTCCCAAAGCTGAGTTACGTGAGAAGGGAAATTTAATGCACATGTGATAAATTAATTCATCCATCATGTGAGCCTTGTGTGAGAGAAAGCTTGAATGGGAATCAAAATAAATGGAATACGGCTTCACATTTAAACGACTGCAGGCATGCTCGTTGTACCTTGTTTCCTGATTAAAATAAGATCTCAAGAAAATGTTTCTCTTTCCAGCTAAGAAAACAACAGTAGTGAAAGGTCTGAAATATTATAGGCATGTTGGCACTGGAAAAGACATTTGAGAGTTTGTAAACTTCTCGTTTGACAAAGGAGGCCCAGAGAAGTTCAGCAACTTGCCTGAGGTCACACAGTTACTTTTCTTCAGAGCTGCTATCATAAATGCCTCAGCAATTTTTTTTTTTAAATTTCTAATAAATTGGATTCTGCATTTCATAAGATGTGGCTTATTGGAGATAGTCTACCTTCATCACCGCCTGTCTTCTTTGATTCAGGCCAAGGTAAGACCAGAGAGTCCAGAGTAAAGAAACTCATAAGTGGAAACAGAAGACATGGCCAGGCAGACTCACGAGGCACAGAACTTGACAAAGTGAACTTCGACTGAAAACAACTTGGGCTTTGTCACACATGGCCAGTTGAGTGGGGAGAGAACGTAGCTTTGGGGGCCAGATGGAACTGGTTTAAGATCCTGGTTCTGGCTGCTATTAACTCTGAAGCCTTGGACCAGGCACTTCACCCCACCTGCTACCTCATCTGGAAAACAGAGATAATATCTGTCTTACAGGGGGTTGAAAGGATTTTATGCATAACTATAGTTAAGAAGGGCGTACACCGGCTTTGATTTTAATCTCATAAAACCTTATGAGGTTAGTTATTACACTTCTGTTTCCTTAGTTGGAGAGATGGGCCTCTACACGCTTTGATTTTAATCTCATAAAACCTTATGAGATGAGTTATTAACACTCCTATTTCCAGACAAATTAAGTAATGCTATTCAAGATCACATACCGGGGATGACTAGGGATTTGAATAGAGGTTTGTTTAGCTCCAAAGCCTTAGCCTCAGCAGTATATCAGGACTGGAGAAAGGTGAGACAAGGACCCAGCATGCTGCCTGACACTGGACAAACAGTGGTTGGTACGATGAAGTAGCCGAATCAGAAAGACGGCTGCTTCCCTACAGCCCAAGTACAGTTCAGAGAGATCAGTGATGGATGGGGGGGCCCCAGACCATTCTACTTCTTTTCTCTTCAACTCTACCCCTACTGTTTTCTTTCTGCATCAACACATGTCTAGTTTGGGCTTTCCCAAGCCATCTACGACCATGCCTCAAAGGTTTTAAGTAAATATTTTGGCCCTAAAATGAACTGTTTTTCTACACATGAACAAAGATCCCTTAAGCATCCACTACCAAGACTCCTGCAGGCTGAGAGTTTCCACTGCTACGTTACTGGTTCAAAGAGGAGATTGGGCATTGCCCCTAAGAAGGCATCAAGTACTCAGTTACGGACCCTAAACATTAAGACATATTCTAGAACCAAAGTAATCTAAATGTTTTCAGCCTTCTCCTCGCCAAGTCCCTCCACCCTCTCCATGACTCACATCTGGGGTGAACTCTTACAAGGCCAGGAGAACTGCCCAGGCCCTGGCGGGACCCCGTCCTTCCAGGCTTCAACAGGAAGCCCCCCAGCACAGCAGCACCACCCAGCCCTCATCCTTCTGTGGTATGAAGGGTTTGGGTTTTGTCTGCAGAATTCATACATCCAAGCAAGTGTCATCATAGGTTTGGGGTTGGTGAGTGGAGGGGAGGAGAGAATCTCTGGACCTGTTTGAATTCTAAAAAACATTTGCCAAAATCTTTCAAGCTATTTTCTTGGCCTGTAACACACACTCCTCTGCATAAATTCATTGGTGGTGATTTTTTAAAAAGTGTTTTTATTGCCCAGCTGGTGTGGCTCAGTGGATTGAGTATTGTCCCATAGACTGAGAGGCTCTGGTTTGATTTACGATCAGGGCATATGCTTGGGTTTCAGGCTTGATCCCCAGTAGGGGGAGGTAAAGGGGGAGAGAGATAGAATATTAATGTGAAAGAGAAACACCAATGGGGCGCCTCCTACACAGCCCGCCACTGGGGATTGAGCCTGTACCCAACCCAGGTATGTGCCCTGACCAGGAATTGAACCAGCAACCTCCTGGTGCATGGATCAGTGCTTAACCACTGAGCCACACTGGCCAGGCTATGGTGACTTTTTATCCATTGAGGTGCAGGTGTAATATTTGAAACCAGTTCAGTGTTATTTGGAGTTAAATTTAGCTGAGAAAATAGATGACTAGGTTGAGGAACACAGATTTCAGTTAAATGAAAGTCTGTGATCACTTTCTAGGCAGAATTATTTTTTCAGTATTTATCATAGAGCTTAGAACAAAAATAGGAGCTCAATTTTTAAAAAAGGGGGGTGGGAGAGAAAGACCTATTACTTTAAGGTGATGTTCTTCTATGCCTTGCAAGCTCATTACTTAGGAGGTGAACCCAAGGAGGAGCTCTGTAAAACACTGAACTGTTCTCCAAGGATGTAAAGCCTTCCAAGGGAATTCTGACCAATGATGCTTGTTTTGGGTAAATACATTTTGGGTGTGAAGGCCCTGTAGAAGGCCCTGTAGAATACCTACAGTATCCTGTCTGTACTTCTCAAGTATCACGAAGTAAGCTCACTCGGACTTGTATCATGAAATGTATTCTATCTTCTACAAACTTCAACCCTTCCTAAGTTAGCACTGTATCTTACACACAATGAGAATTAAATAAAAGTTTGCAGAATGAAAGCTTATAGAAGAAAAAAAATCTCACCCTACTTCCTGAGTTATAGGGTGACATTTTGGGAAGCAGGGATTCTGAGATAACTCTCCTTTCTGTCTCTTCCAGACACAGAATCAAACCAAGCAAGGTGGCAAGCCAGTCCTTTGTAACCATAACCAGAAGAAAAATTTCAGAATGCTGATTATAGTAGAGCAGGTAAGTTTATTAAACAATAGCTTCTGCTTTGAAAGGGTTTTTGCAAGTTTCCCCACCATTGCTGATATTGGCCACAGCCTGATGTTCTGCACTGTTAACCATACACCATCCTTCAATGCTCCCATCCTCAGCATTCACACAGCCGACACCTATCTGAAGATGAAGTTATCAAAAGCAGCAAAAGCTAATTGTTGTCTCTACAGCTTATATGAACATTTCCCATCAAATACCACATCAAAAGTTCTAGGTTTGAACTGGAAACAAATGAGAGATGGTGGAGAAGATTCAGGTACCAGATTTCTCGGGGTGATCACTTCATTAGTTATACAAATGTCTAATCATGGAGTTGGCCACCTGAAACTAATTAATATTGTACATCAACTATAATTTAAAAATAAAAAGAATTTTTTGCCCTGAACAGTTTTTCTCAGTGGTTAGAGCGTAAGCCTGCAGACCAATGACTCACAGGTTTGATTTTAGTCAAGGGCAGGTACCTTGGTTGCAGTTCATCCCCAGCCCTGGTTGGGGTCGTGCAGGAGGCAACCAGTGGATGTGTCCCTTTCACATCGATGTTTCTCTCTCTCTCTCTCTCTCTCCCTCCCTCCCTCCCTCCTGCTCTATCTGAACAAAAATGGAAAAATGTCTTCAGGTGAGGATAAAAATAAACAAACAAATAAAAATAAAAAGAATTTTTAAATTAAATTTAAAAAAGAAGATTCAGGAACAAGTCAAAAATGAGGGCTCTCCTAAATAATGTTACCACACTTGGCCCGTATATATATTGTGAGTAAACCCCACTACCCTATAAAGCAGGTGATGACCGTGGTTTCATGAAAAAGAAGACCGAGGCTCGGAGAGGTTGAGTACTTGCGTAAGGTCACGCCATTTGTGAGTGGTCCAAGCCGGGGCTCAGTACCAGGCGGGCATCCGCCTCCTTCCAATTCACTGTGATGCCTTCCTTAGACATTGCATCTAGACGCCTGACGCACATGTGAAGGGGACGGAACATAAGTAACCAAAGCAGAAAGCTGTGTCGGCTTCTAGTCCTGAAGAAGGACCGGAGAGTCGGGTTTCATCTCTGCTCGTGAGGACCGAGCTGGGCACCGCCTTTCTGGGCGTCAGGGTCCTCCTTTCCAGACAGAAAACACAGTGACCTACTTTGCAGGACTCTCAGAAGCAACCATTAAGAAAGGCTTCCAAGACAAAGCCTTTGGCTAAAATAACAAGAAGGCAATGAATCTGTGGAACAAGACAGGTGTCTTCTCTGATCCAAATCTCAAAGACCCAAGTTTCCTGTCCAACCCTCCCCTGCGATTCTTCCCACGTGTGAAGTTTCTTTTGGGAATCACGGAAATCCTCTATTGAGAGAGGAAACACGGGGAGATGGGCGCATCAAGCACAGCCACGGGCTTATTCAAGTAATTTAGACATCGCTCATCCCTTGCTTCTCCTCCTGCCTTTATTTTGCTAGAAGGCAATGAAAAGAATAAAATTCTAATTCATTCATTTATCTAATATTCAGCCTTTTCAAAATCGGAGAGATGTTGAAGCAGGGAGGGGAGATAGGCTTTATGGATCTAAGTTTTAAATTCTTATATTCTCTCTCAACCAGAAACAAGCAAGAGTCCCACTCAACCTTATTCCTACATCAACATTTTTAAATGCCACATTTTTAAAAGCCAACACTTACTGTTCAGGGGTTCAGCGAGCGAAGTCCAAAGTCAAGGAGATGATCTCTCTCTTTTGTGAAAAACACCATATGCTCTTAGGTGTGTCAGGACAGTCACTGGGCTGTTATTAATAACTGGCTAGAGCTTTATGAAGAAACATGAGCCAGACCATTACGGGAGGAGGCAGTGGAAAGGAATTGACAGACACAGGTGGGTTAAACTCTGACAAAACTATACTTAGGCCCACGCAGGAGCTCAAATACCCCATGAGGAGGGGATCATTCCTTTCACAATCAATAGAGCCTGTGAAACCCTAAGAGTTCAACAATCAACTACCAAAAATATCCTTACTGTTCAGCTCTCTGGGAAAACGACACGATTCATTTAATATCCTACTATCCTTTGTTCTTCTGAGAAATGTTTTCTCATGGACATCTGAAATATCTTCTCAAATAGATACATTTTTGCTCTGTTTGCACTGACTCCCCCATTTTTTAAAATATATGAACAAATGCACATTCTCAGTATTTTGAGATTTGCGTACTTGTGAGCATTTTGGTCTCTCTCCCTAGGGATCCCAAAACAATTCCTGGAAGTGTGTGTGTGTGTGTCTGTGCGCGCGCGTGTGCGTGTGCCATGTGTGGGTTGGGTGTGTTGGGGGGAGGGTGGTGGATCTTTGGAACCTAAGAAGTGAAGTGTGAAGAAGGAAGTATAACCCTGACCAGGCGACCGGTCTGTAGAGGCTCTCCTCTTTTGAAAAGCTACATTTCAGAAAGTCCAAGTCTCTGCCTCCACTGTCCCCAGCAATTGACATCAAATTGTTTGGACCATTAACAGTATGTCTTCAGATCTAGACTGTATTAAAATAAGGTATTAAAAGGTATTAAATATACCTGTATTAAAATAAGGTGTTAAAAGAAAATTGACGATAAGACAAAAGTTACTGAAATATATAAAGATACAAATGGAAGGGAAAATGCTTGTCAAATTGCCTCGTCCTTAAGGTTCCTGTTGCTCTGGCTCAGGCCTGGTAACTGTCCTTTTTCAAATGAAACCCCTTTTCAACTCATTGCTGGGGGTGGGGAGGCTGGAACTCCTCACTATAAACCTCACACAGTGGAGTGTCATTCTGCTGAAGCGATTGTCAAAAAGAAACAGTAATAAACTGGTGACAACAAGTTTAATAGATGGGTGACAGTAAGTTGAGTAGGAATAGAATCTAAAAAAAAAAAAAATGTTTTCAATACTCTGATCAGTTTAATATTTTTGAGTATCCACGGAATATATGTATCTTTATAGACCATATTTATATACGATTGTAAATATATGTTCATCATATAACAAGAAGAGAAATTTTTTTAACTTTTTTTTTTTATCCTCACCCGAGGACATTTTTCCATTTTTTGTTCAGTTAGAGTGGGAGGGAGAGAGAGGAACAGAGAGAGAGAGAGAAACATCAATGCGAAAGGAACACATCGAGTGGCTGCCACCCGCACAACCAACCAGGGCCGGGGACAAACTGCAACCGAGGTACATGCCCTTAGCGGGAACCGAACCTGGGTCTCTCAGGACCGCAGGCCGAAGCTCCAACCGCTGAGCCAAACCGGCCAGGGCAAGAAGAGAAATTTTTTAAAGATAAAATTTAAGAATAAATAAGAGTTCTCTTAGCACTCACAATAGGCATTTTCACCGGCCCTTAGGGCACGAATACCCACTCTGCAGGTGACCATGGCTCCACCACTTATCAGCTATTGTGGCTTGAACTGTGTCCCACAAAAAGATATGTGAAGTCTTAACCTATGAATGTGACCATATTTGGGGATGCCATGTGACAAAGGAACAGATGCCAGAGTGATGTGTCTACCAGCCAAGCCGGCCAGGACTCTCAGGCAGTTCTCAGACTGAGGCCCTCTGCTGACTTCGTTTCCTTATCTGTGATGCACAGAACCTCAGAAATTCCAAAAGGCTTGAATGGTTTCCTAACATGGCCCTTGCCAGATGGGGAGATAGGAGCCCAGAGATCCCAGTGCTTGAGTTCTAGTGTCATGCCTGTTGAGACCTCCTTGAGCCAGGGAGAGTGGACTTGACATCTTTAAGGAACTCAGCCAAGTGGGAGACAGGTAACTAGATAAACACACTCAACCATTTCCCAAACCTACCATGTCTTGGCTCTGAGTTTGCAAAGGTCAATCCTTCTGTCTAGCAAACGTTTCTTCCCCTAGCTCCTCACCGTGAACATCCTTCCCTCAGTGAATTCCTAGGTTCAGCATTATGTGCTCTGGGAGGGCTCTCCCCACAGCCCAGCCTGGATTCTTTGAGTTGCATGTGTCCTCCCATAGGGCCCATTGCTAATCTTTCCTGAAATGCTTTTTGCTTCTTTCCCCCAAAGGAACATAAGATCCTAAGGACCACATCTAGATCTTGGTTTCCATTGTCTGTCCCATTCCTAGCATAAAGCAGCCCCTCAGATATTTGGAGCTGCGCCAAGAGCACATGGGCAACACAGGTGGGAAGACTGACTGGTGAAGGAGGTGATACCAGGGCCAAGTTAAAAGGAGAGAGAGAAATCTGCCAAGGAGTCAGCAGGGAAAGGCATTCCAGGGAGACCCCTGGACAGGAGCAAGTACGCGAAGGAGGGGAGTAGATACAGGGGGAGTGAACTGCATGAACCTTGCATTGCTGGAGGGTCAAGAACAAGGTAGATGTGGCCAGGAATATAACTGAGATGAAGCAAGACTTCATAAAGAAAACTTTATGTGGGAGGGAGAGAGAGAGAAACATCAATGTGAAAGGGACACATCGAGTGGCTGCCTCTCGCACGACCCAAACAGGGCCGGGGACAAACTGCAACCGAGGTACATGCCCTTAGCGGGAACCGAACCCGGGTCTCTCTGGACAGCAGGCCAACACTCTAACTACTCTGAGCAAAACCGGCCAGGGCTATAAAGAAAACTTTAATATTCTGCTTCATCCATTCCTAGCAATTTAGCTCCAACCACGTTATTTAACCTCTTTGTGCCTCAGTTTCCTCGCCTGTAAACTGGAGATCGTAACAGTCATCCTCACATACAGCTGCTGTGAGGACTGAGTTAACATGTGGGGAACATTTAAAAGAACAAGAGTAATAAAAGTCCTTGCTGTTTTTATTATGTTAAAGACTTCATCCTATAGGCAAGACGGGGGCTCAGGCTCCTATTCTAAGCAGGGGCCTGACGGAGTCAGCTTTCCTATAGAAAGATCTGTGGAGCTGGGGTTAGTGGAGCAGGCCCAGGGCCAGAAAAGCAGCTGGGAACTATTTCCTACAATAGCCCAAGAGTGATAAGGACTGAACGGACTTGAGGCAGGAGTGGGGAGGATGAGCAGGAATTAGCCACATTTAGCAGGTAAAATTAGCAGATTTCATGCCTGGCTAGAATTGGGTGGGGACACCACCCAGATGTGTGGTTTGGGAAACTTGGGTGAGTAATTACAGAAAGACAAGGAGCTTGTGAGCACTTTCGGCATATTAGGGACAGAGCTAGACCTCTGGCACCCAGTGGTGCTGAGGAACTGGTCCAGGGCCACCGGAGTGGGCAAGTGGCCAAGGGAGAAGTGAAACCCTGTGTCCAGGTGCCCAGTTCATGCACTTCCCACCGCAATCCGAGAAATGGGTGTTTCCCAGGGATAAAATGTCAGACTTTCACATCCCAGTTCTTAACCCATAAAGAGGACCAACGAGGAAAATGAGGGAAGTGGGAGGGAAAACTTGAATTTCTAGGGCCTTCCACACCAGAAAGAATAAAAGTGCCTACCTCAAGTCCCCTCCCATTGACAAAGTCCTTTTATTCCACTTATGTTGATGTCATGCATGTTATACAAACTCAAATACTTTGCCTCTCCTGCCCGTTTTCATTGCTGGAGGCCCATCTCTCACGTTAATTTCTGAACTTGCCGTCAGTGTCGCAGTCTAACACGGCCACCGCGCCCGCGAAAACAGCTGAAGGGGGCCTGCAGGAAGCCCAGCCCTGGCTCCCACCCCGAGAAGCTGCTGCTTGCGGGGGAGGGGCTGTGGGAAGACCCGCCTCACTGTCCCCAGCAGGACCAGGTTCCCAGGTCTGCGTCCCTACTGTCTCGGGAGAGCTACATCATACGTCTAGGCCCGGAGGCGGACGGCAAGCCGGTGGGGCTGGCCTACGAACACGGCACACGGCAGGGCAGGAAGTCTGACCGCCTCTGGCCTCCCTTCTGCCCTGACAAAGACGTCGCCCTCATCCACAGCCCGGCAGCCAGCCGAGGAAACATTGCTGAGAAGTGGACTCCGGGGGTGAAGCGCCTCTGCTCCTTCATCCTCATGGGCAATAAGAAGGATCAGAGGCAAGATGAGCTGCCTGGAGAGAGCTGGTCGGACGCATCAGGAGCCCCTTCCGTTTGAGGGAGGCCAGGACGGGGAACCGCATCAGTGCCTTTGGGGGCCTCGAGTGTTCAGGCCGGACCCAGGAGAGGTGTGGGAGGTGCTCCAGTCGGCCACTCGGCTGGCCTCCAGGTCTGCAAGAATAAGGCCAGAGAGGCTGCCCCATTCTCTGAGATACCCAAGGCCTCCCCTCCTTCCCCACCGCGCTCCCTCCACGGGGTGCAGAAACACCCCTTTCCCCAGCCCCACCCTCTTAGGGCTCCATGCCGAAGGATCTCCTTTTCCTTTCCCTCCAGCCCAGGACTGCATTGAGATTCTCAAGCCCCCAGCCCCAGAGGTGGTGGTGACAGGTCCTCCCTCCCTCCTGGCACTCTGGGAACCCAGGCTAGTCCTGTCCTGGGGGTGGGGTGGGGGGGGTGGGAAGGCTGCCTGGGTCGGGGTGGGGTTCTTGGTCCCTCTGGCCTTCCCCCAGGATCTCCACAGCAGCACTTGACACACATCTGGCTCACGGGAGTGTCCGGGGTAGGGGACTTGGAGGGTGTCACCCAGAGTCTGGCCCCTGGTGCTTCCGCTCTGGTTGTACTTGGTGGGGGGCATGAATAAAAAGGCCACAGGCTTCAAAAAACAAAGAAATGAAAAACACCCTATGGAATATGGACTTATGTATTCAAGCTGTCTTTAAGAATCCTTTCCCCAATTTCATTTCAAGAAGCC